ACAAAATTTTCACAGGACTAGTTTCGATGGTTTTACCAAACTACCATCCTCGGCTTCAAAAATGCAAAATTTGCGGTTTGAATTAGCTTATACCATCCGCTATACATTAAACATGCATGCGTAAACGTATTATGCGCATGCGCACACGCAAACGCTTATGGGCATGAGTGAACGCATTTTGCATTGCCGCATGCGCAGAAAGTTTGTAGCTTTGAGGTCCAGATTAACGACTTTTGATTGTATTTCTTTCCTGCATGTTAGATAAAAGATATCGAGTGTTTATTTATCTCCAAATGTAAAGATATCGAGAATCACTCTGTAAAGCACATCAGTGAACAGAACAGACATCCACTGATTTCACTCCAGTTGACATGACTATATACCCAATTCAAGTGCTCCCTCCAGTGGTGGGAGATAAGTGAGACACACAATGCTGGTTGTTTAGTATACAGACCTCTTTCATGCCACCTTCTGCATGGTGTCATAGCTGATATTGTCCTTCTTGCAGTGGATCTAAGCAGAAATGGAGTTGCAGCCCTGTTGGGATGTGCACTAAACTGCCCATGTCGTGCATCTGCAGAAGTGATATTTCTTGGCCTACCTTCAGTAGGTCATTGAGAGGCTGAACCAGTAGTCAGAAATTGGTTTCGTAACCAGCTTACTATAGAACGATCGACATTTAGCCACCATGCAACATTAGACTGTCATTGACTGTTTCTAATTGGTCTATACCTTTATAATGCGGTTCGAGTCTCAGATCTCCCCTGAACTTATGATGAATACTTTGAAATTGTGTAATATACCATCATTCATTGAATAGTGATTCCCTCCTAGAAAGCTGGTGTTAAGCTGTATTGCATTTACATAAAGCGAAACCCCATTTCAACTTGAGTCTCGATCTTATTACCATCATGGAATTTTTGCCCTGCAAGATGCTTCTTTAGGTAAAGGAATAAGTGGAATTCACTAAGGGCAAGGGCCAGGCTGTAAGGCAGATGGCCTAAAACTTTCCTAGTTGAAACTTTTGAGTAGTGCTTTTATTTGAAGTGCTGTGTGATGGCTAGCATTGTCATGGTGCAAGCAAACTTCACTTGTCAGCATGTCCTGACATTTGTTTTGAATTGCCCATCTGAGACATCTCATTTCCAAAATATGCATCAGCTTGAATTGTGGTGCCAGGAAGCATGATGTTAATCAGAAGAATGCCTTGTCTTATTCTAGTAAAAAGAAACTAGTATTTTTTTTGTTTTATGAAACTGAAGTTATGATTTCTTGGCTTTTGAGGATTTCATATGGCACTACTGCATTGACTGTTGCTTGGATTCTGGAGTATGATAATAATCCCGCATCTCGTTACTGGTAACAGTGTGATTAAGAAACTCATCACATGCTTCTGCATAGTGTGTGAGGAAGTCAAGTGCAAAAATCTATCATTTTCTTTTTGCATTCTTCCGTTGACATTTTCGGAAGCCAATGTGCATGCAATTTCCTGTAGCCTGAAGTCACAGTCACAGTTTCATAAAGAATTGTCATAAGCACTTCTGATATGATTATATGCAGTTCTTTGAATGTGAGATGTCTCTTTACTCAAATTGCTTCTACTCTTCATTGAAGAGGGGCATCAGGTACCACAGATGGTCTCCTGTTCTGTCATGAACATCAGTCTTATCCCCAGAGAAAGTCTTATCCATTTCATGACATTTTGTTGCTTCCTTATATTCCCATAGACAGAAACAATTTCTTTATGAATATCAGCTAGATGCTCACCTTTTGCATTGAGAAAAACCTATGACAAAATGCATTTCATGTTTTGATGGATTCTGAAATTATGCAGCCACTATACTCACTTGCTACTGTAATCAGACTCAGTGTAAAATAATGAATGATCACGAGGGGAAAGCAAAAAAATTCAAGGTTACAATGAGTGTCGCAAATATGCTAATGAAAACATTTCCTTTCATGCTGTCCATGATATATCTTTACTTTTTGAAAATATCTCATAATAGATGAATTGTGATCATTTGCCCAGAGGTACTTATTACTCTTCCAACAGGAATAGCCCTATTTCTGTCCCTTAAGTAAAAAATTCTGGCATTTGAATGAAATCTTTTAGCAATGCTAGCATATGAAAATTATTGTTCCTATAAATTATGGCATATTGCACAGTTTAAAGAACAGATAGGACAATAAATTCTAAAAGCAATAAAATATTGGCTGAATTGCACAAACGTACTTGGGTAGATGAGCAGATTGCTGTACAAATACATTAGTGGGCTTGCTTGGATTGCTTATTCGTCATATTATAAAATTTTATTTGCTAGATACAACTTTTCAAGCATTCATTTTCAAATGAAAAAAAAAAAATTAGATGTAACCATTTAACAGATTAGGAAAATGAAGGTTCTATTATCAGTACCACTAACGCCCTAAGTGGTGAGCTGTGTAATATCTGTACCATTCGTGCTTGTTATAATATCCGGTACTTATGTGTTATCCAATCTACTGTAAAAGTTGGCTCTCATCAAAACATGAGGCCATGTCTCATGTTTTGATGAGACTAGCATGAAAGTTCACAGAGATTGTGTCATTCCTGTGGAACTCTGATGGAATTGATGCCTCTGTTTTTTTTTTTTTTTTTTTTTTTTTAAATAAACAATTAGCATTCGACCCACTTTCCTTTTACTCTTTGTAAAAATGTTCTTGTTGATTTCTACTATTTTGTTAGATATTCTCATTTTCCAAAAGCTGTGAATATAAACTACCAATAAATAACCATTCCAATCTATTACTGTTTTGTCGGCCATGTTCAGCTGATGATATTTTCTCCATTAAATACACACTTTTGTTGATGGTAGGCTCTCATAACTTAAAAAATAATTCACTGCTTGCTGTTCTGTAGAAGACTCATCCCCAGTTTTAATCATTTTTTCAAAGTGCATAAAAAAATATAGAATAATAGTTAATTTATAACCTTGTTGATACAAACAAAATATGGCAGATCAAAAATCAATTGGATTTACATCTAAAGAAAGTGTAGATTTTGTGAATGTATTGTGACTTCATACCTCCCATAGCTAGTCCTCAATCATGCCACTTGGTGACAATTTCACGATCGATGGGATAAAACATAAGTGCCAAAAATCCATAAGGCTATTTCATCATGTAACACAACTCTTCTGTTTCTACAGCTGTTTTTTAATGTAGCATTGTATAAAAATTTTTATTATGTCTCTATATATATCTGACTTCACTTAATATTATAAAGAAATAATTTCTTTGTAATTGCATATAGTTTGGGTATTTTTATATGCTTTGGCATTTAAAAAGGGTAATATTGGGTTATTCGCATATATTCTGTATACTAACACGATACTGAAAATTGTGATACTGCTTTTTGTAATGAGCTCCTGTCAGTTTGAATGCAAAATAAATTTTTAAAAATGTGAATTAAAAAGTAATAATTTTGTTAATCTAAACTGCTGGTCTTAGAGCTTAAGTAAAAGAATTTATGAAAATTAGTAACCAAAATTTTTTGGTGATTGGCCTGCAAGGCATAATTCCAAGATGGCCGCTACACAAAACCAAACTAACAAGACAAAGAATTGCACAAACTCGGTGTCCATATACACATCGATCTATTTGCACTTGGAAATAAAAAATCAGAGAATTGCACAAACTCTTGACTTTGTCCATGCACACATGATCTATTTTTCACTTTAAAAAAGGTCAGGAGAATGATGATGTCATATAATGTTAAAACAAAGTTACTCATCACCAAAATTGAAAAAATTTGTAGCCAATAGAAGCTCAATAAACCACATTTTAAATCATACAATGAAATAACATGAAAAAGGAAATACATGTTATCACATATACGCACTAAAAAAACTAAATATTGATTTACCATATTGAGAAATTTCCGTGTCTTCAGTCTGTGGCACACAAAATTCCTTAACACAGCATCCAAAAATACTGCCGTCACTACATAAATTCACAAAAATAAGAGTAAAAAATATTCTGCATAGTGCCGGACTGTCAGTGGCATTTCTTGCATGAACCTTTCTTGCGACAAACTCATTTAAGGCCATTTGAATGATCTTTACGTTTGACCATACACATTTCCTTCATACAAACGGGACACTTATAATGACTATTAAGTAAACCTTCATTCACACACCAGTCAATTAATGCTTTTTTCCTCTTTCGTTCCAAATCGTACAGAAACTTCACATTAATCTCATCACATACAACCATTTTATGGTGTGCAGCACAAAATAAGCAACATACTTCTTAACTGACATCCAACACAGAAATAAGCCCTTATAAATATTTTCCCCAGTCAAATTCACTGCAACCATGCCACCAATCATGTCATAATAAGGTTTCCATAACATTCAGCTCAGCTACTCAGGTTACCATAAATGAAACAACAATTTGGCAATAAAAGAAAAAAAAAGTTGGCGATAATCCAAGGAGCACCCTAAAATATAGACTAACCGTAGTTTGGTTTATTAATTGATGAAGAGAATTATATTCACCTGGAGAAGTTACTAACTTGTGAATTGAATTGCAATGCAAATAATTTTCAGAGGCATTGGATACTGCCCAGGTAGTATAGTGGTTAGGGGAGTATAGTGGTACCAAAGGGTCAGCTTCGAATTCCAGGGAAGACATGGTTGTAACAGTCCGTCCCTTCATAGGAGGCAACAGTGGCTGCCTATTAGGTCCACAATAAAACAGCCACCACTTCTGGCCTTAGAGTGGTCATTGCTGAATAGGCAAGCACCTGCCATTGGATTAAAAAAAGTTTTATAATATGTGTTTGTATTTCTTGTATCCTGAGTGTCAACTTGTTATAAGGAGCAGAAAAAAGTCATTACAGAAGAATTTTTGTACTTAATTGTGTTCAACATTTCCTTGATAAATCTAGAAAAACTGTGATACCAAAGTAAATCTTAATTTGAGATAAATATTCTAAGACTGTATTTCCCCTCTTTCAGATAATGCCAATGCTAAGAGTGTACTAAAGCTGAAGAACAGTACTCCAACTAGTAAGTTATAATTTTGATTTTGTTTTACTTAAATAAATCTGAAGCTTTTCGTAACATTCCTTAATACAGTGGTAAATTTCAAATTTAAAATAAAAATTCAAGTTATGCTGTTTTTATTTAGATAAACTTATTCTTCATTCAGAATTTATGATTAGCTGAAAAAGTAAAATAAAAATATAGCTTTATTTTAATTACTTCCAAACAGCACAGTGTTGTACATATTTAACGTCAAAAAGATCTACTATATTTAACGGGGAAAGTGCAGAATCACCCACTGCTTGGCACTTTTTAAGAATTGCACAAACTTGGTATCCATGTACACATCGACCTATTTTCACTTAAAAAAACATCAGAGAATTGCACAAATTCAGCATCGCACAATCCTTTCACTTTGTCCATGTACACATTGATGCATTTTCGCTTAAAAAGGCAAAAGAAATTGACAAAAATCCAATTCTTCTTACTCTTGTAAAAAGCGCCAAACATAGCATGCCAAATAAGTGGGCGATTCTGCACTTCACCCCATTTAACTACATGGTTACTTATGTTGCAGTTGTATGGTGCTGTTATCAGCATGCTGAATCTTATAATGCTTGTTTGAAATAATTTTTTTTTTGTCATGTAAATCATATAAGAAATATATTTTATTTCTAATTGCTGTTATTTTCGATAATTTTTATTCAATAATGGTGTGTTTTGTGAATCTTTGGCTCAATAAGAACATATATTTGATTCTGTAATACCCATTTCTAGTAGTAGTTCAGTAAATGATTTTATGTTTAATATAGTAACTGGCTTTTAATCTTTCATCATCTGTGGTTGTTCAGCTTCAGATGAATATCTTAAATGTTCTGTGTAATGATACATATTTATTATTTTATTGTGTCCTGCATATTTATTATTATAATTAATTTCCACATAACAGTGGCCTGATATTTCTTCATGTAAATAAAATAAGCACTATTCTCTTTTCTTAAAGAAAATTAATCTATTCTTGAGAGCTGCTTGTGTATCTCTGAGATTATACATATTGCAGTTTGAGAACTACTGTAAAAGAATAAACTGAGCTTATAACATTTCTTATGAATGTTTATATGTTTAACACCAGTAAGTATAGATATTATTCACCCAGATATACCAGATCTTATATATAATTCTTCACATAAAGGATCTTGTATCTAAAATGAAAATCCAGTAAGAGAATTGAGTTTTACATTCTGATTTTCTGGACATACTTAGCAGCAGGTTTCTTATTTGTTGGCAGGCAGTATTTAAATTATTGGAATGCAAACATTCCAGTATTTTCTAGTGTGGAGTGTGAATGATACATGTTATATGTTTTTTCCATACCTTTAATTATTGAAAAGAGTTGCTATAAGGTATTAGTGATAAAATCCGATCTTCTTACAAGTTATGTGTGTATGAATGCTCATTACATATCCTAAATTATCTCTGGCAAGTGTTTATATTTTATTTATGGAAGTAGTGCACTTCAAATGACAAATCTGTGTTAATGTTTGCAGTACTGACAAAGTCAAAATGCTTATCAGTGCTTCATATCATAAACTTCAGGAAGGAAAGGAAGATATGGGAGACAGAAGAAGGAAAAGAAAATATTCAAAGTTAATGACTGCAAAGACAGACCTTTGAAGATTTAAAGAAAGGTAACAAAAATAATGATTATAAGAGTAAAATATATAGAACATAGTATTTCATATGATGAATTGTATAAATTATATGACCAAAATTCCATGTAAATAATTTTTTTCATACTTTATTGGAAAACAGAAATCACTGCTGTTATGCACTATATAATAGTTAGAATTTTACAAAGTACTGTTCTGTTACCAGAACTGGATTCAGAAATGTGTGAATGTATGCACGTGTGTATGTAAATAAGTGCATATGTATACACACACATTTGTACTCACATTAATACATGCATACATATACTTCTGAGTTCAGTCCTTATAACAGAACAGTACCTTTTACAAAAATAGTAAACAATAGTTGTTTATTCCGTATATTTTTCTAAACTCCAGCAATTGCTACTCTGTCAAATTACTAGCCAAAATTTAAGATCACAGTCAATTCAGTTACATGATCTCATGAAATATGCAATAAAAATTGCATTTATTTCTTTAAATTAAACAATGATAATAAAAAAGTTAATTTATTTTAACTGCATAAAATAACTTTATAACAGACAAGAAGGAATAGGGTCACAGCTCAAACATTAAAACATGCATAAATGAAAGGCTTTATTTAAATTTTTATGTTAAAAATAATAATTGGCTCATATTAGCTGCAACTATTTAACAAAAAATCTTTTTTTTTTCGCAATAAATGCCAAAAATAATTTAGAAATAAATTTGCCAGAAATAATTTACAAATAAGAAGAGTTTCTTGGCTTAGTTTTTAATTATAAGAATTCAGCTGGTTCAAAATCAAAGTCCCAGAAAATGTGCTGAATGCATATGTTATGAAGCACAGCAGATTGCAGAAATTACACTTATATCCAAAAGTATCTTTACATGCATGAAGTTATGGATTTCTTTTGAACTGTGAACTATAATTTTGTGAATTTGTGTGGAATGGTCCATAACATATAAATGCAAAGGGAAAAAAAATTGAGAGCTATACATGTGATATGAAACTGTACTATGAAACGAATGAAATGGTAATAATATGTTAGTAGGAAAGTTCAGAAAGAAATGAAGGTTTATGAATTCAATATGTAATGTGATCTCCCTTGACTTGGACACATGTATAACAATGTGTTTTTATGTGGGAAATAACATTGTAACCACTGTTTGGGGAATTAAGTTCCATCAATGTGGTCTTTAGGGCATTGACATCTCTAGGAGGAGGATGTCTCTGTACAATTGCTTTTCCATGGCATTCCTTAAGATCTCTACTGACTTAAGATCAAGAGATTTTGCTGGCCATTGTATTCGCTCAATATCTTCACTTAAAAGGAAGTTAACAATGAGATTTCCATGATGTGGGTGAGTATTATTATTCATAAATAAAAAGTCAGATCCATATGCTATTCTGAAAAATCATACATTAGGTTCTAAGACCTCATCTCAGTATATCTGGCTGGTCACAGATCTGCTGCTGAAAACATGTAGGGGCATATGTCCATTGATCATTATTCTTTCCCATACCATCACATCTGCATTACTAAAATAATCACCTTCCATAATGTTCAAAAGAGCTTTTACATTCCTGACTTCTTTCAGATGTAAACATGTTTAGAATTGGATGTTGAACTAAACCTTGACTTATTAGTAAAGAGAATATGAGACCACTGGTGTTCACTACAAGTCTGATGTTTTTGTAGTGAACAGTTGAAGTAATCTCTCTTTTGTTATGAAGTTGGTGACACACATATTGATTATCCAAAGTCACATTTTCTTGGTGACACATTTTTCTCCCAAGAAACAAAACACTGGAACTAGGTGAAAATCAACAACAAAGTAAACAAAAAATTCTTAAAACTTACATATTTGCCATTGCATGTGGTTGCATGAAACAGTAAAACCATGCTGGAAGTTTGTTTTCTGAGCAATAAATTATTTCTGGTATTTATTGTGAAAAAAATCTTTTTTTTTTTTTAAATAGTTGAAGATAAAACTGTAAAAAGTTTAATGGAGATAATTACCAAAAACATGTTAGAGAGCTTTTTAATGTGCTATGGATTATTTAAATATTATGCATTATGTCATTTCATAGTAATCAGTAACTGAACTATGTAATCTCAGAAATAATCATTAAAAACTAGACAAAAAAATCCTCAGTTTTAAATTCTTTATATCATTTAATGAAAAACCTCCAAATTACCAATTGTTTTCTTGCCTGTATAGACTTTATATCTAGTTTAACTTCAGGTTGTGGTCCATCAGCAGCCAAGTGCTTAAAATTGCTGAACACTAGTGATTTAACCTGAGTTCAAATCCAAGCAAAAAGGCTTGATGCATAAGTATTTTCATAGTTTTTCCTACGAAAGATGTAAATACAAGACAGTTACCTTTGGAAAGGTCCTGCACAAAAGCATTTCTTCCATATGAGAGATGACCTCTGTGTTCTTTGCTGTATTCAGATAATCAAATCAACCTTAACTGAAGTTTGATTCCAAGCATTAATCCTTCCTCTCCTTTCTATTAAATATAGGTCGTGTGATGTTTTCTACCGTTATCTTGTGATTGCATTTTGAGAGAAATTATGTTATGGAGCATTATTTTTTATTATTTTCAAATCACAAATACGTTGAAATTCTATCCCATAAACTCATAAACTATAATACTGTGGCCCAATTTTCAACCTTGCTATGAATTTTATGTTGGGTAATTTTGCAGTATTATTTAATGTATATTTTTAAAAATTCATTAATAAATGTAGCGGATGGTAGATGGTTCCATCATTTAAACAATAAAGCTGAAACGTTGTAACAGTGGTACAGTTGCTTAACTGATGGTCTCTGTATTATTTAATGTATTTTTGCTAAGCCAAATATTTTTGGTCATTCTGATACTTCAAGAAGAATTAATTACATGAACATGTGAAAAGATGTTCTGATGAACATCCTTGTCAAGGTGATGTGATGAAGATTACTCTTCATCAGTTACAAAAAGTTATACTAGTGTGACATTCAAATCAAATTTAAAGGATAATTTATGAAAAAATAAGTTATTTTCATAAGTGAGAACTTGGAAAAGAGAATATGTGCCCCATTCTTTCAAAAATGAATAAAGAACTGCTCTTAAATTAATGCAGGTCCAAGACAGAAGTTTCCCTAATCTTAATCCTTCAGTGGTTGCAAGATTAAGCAGTTTTTTCTTCCCAAATATACACTGTATCTGTCAATCTTAAATTTGTAATGTGAGCTGTGTCTATTTGCGCCCATTGCGATGCATAACTGGAATATCAGCTGAGCTCTTTGATGGCCATCAGAAGGTTAAATCTTTACATCTATTATTTGCTAACTTTGAAAAAAAGCAGATATTCACTTCAAATTAGGGTACTAATTTTTTCCTGTTTCTCTCAAGTTTTCAGCTATGTTAAAATTTTTCATATTAATAAGGGCACTAATGCAATTTAAAATCTTATTTAGATTATGAGTAGTTTAATTTGAATATTTAATACAGAAAAATAATTTTATTTATATGAATTATAGTTGCATGAGCAGGAAAATACTCACCACTTTCGATGGTTTTGAAGTTTCTTCTTGATTAGAAATGTGTATTTTTTCTTAAAATAAGAAACTAAGGGGAGGATGAGTATTCAGTGTTTAATTAGATTTCGTTAGAATGAGAATCCTTTTAAACAAACATTTGTTTTTGTTTTAATGTAGCTCAGTCATGGCTTGAAATCTGCCTGTATTGCAAGCTCATAGCTGGTAAAATGTATTAAAAGAGGTATTGGAAAACATGATTGAAATTGCTACATTCTAGGCCTTAACTGTATCAGCTCATAAAGGGTGAAATTTCTGAGCTGACAGATATTCCCCCCCCCCAAAAAAAAACTATGGCATGAAGAAAAATGATTTAATAATTTTTTTTAAAAATTACACTTATATAAAGATTTATTCAAAAAGTGGAACGGAAGGGAGAAGATATTTTTATCATCAATAAGAAATAATTATTGAATAGAATTTATTACAGTATTGGAATAAAAGAATTAAGAAATAAAAACATACTATAAAATAAAATAAGAAGCTTATAAAATATATTTTCACTGCATGCTTAACTGAAAAGAAATTCTTATGCTTTTGCTGAATTTTTTGGTACATTAAAAAAAAAAAAAAAAAAAAAAATTAAATGCAATGGAAAGCATGTAACTGAAAATTATGCGAAATGCATTGTTCTCTTTCTGAAGTAGTCTTGTGATTAACAGTCATCAAAGTGAATTTTCTTTTCTGGGTGGCAAGGTGAAAAGAGTGCTGGCTTCTAAAAATTATTGAACTGGCAAGAGTTTTTTGACTTTAAGAATTTGATGATGATCCTGTGTATAAAAACCAGATTTTTTTTTTTTTCAGTGTAGGAATTCTTCCTTATTTCCTTCCTTTTCCATTTCAAGCAATTTTTTTATTATTAAAGAGAAAACTGTTTTATTTTACTCGAACAGTAGAGTTAAATTTCTGCTAGTCAGTATAATTTATACCAAAAACAAAATGAATTAGCAAAATTTAAAAAAAAAAAAAAAAATTCTTATAAAATATTTTTGTAATTTTTATTCACGAGAAATTTTTAAAAGTGCTTCTTTTTGGGTTTTATGCTTGGCAACATGAGCAGCATGGTTGCTCAGGCATTTCTCTGGCTACATGCTTAAATTAATAAATCTTTTAAATATGAAATGATAATTTTAGACTACTTTGCTGTGGTATCATTATGTCAAGATTTTCCATTTTATAATGAGTATTTTAACACATTAAGCTATAAAAGAAACCAAAAACAATAGAAGTCATGTTTCGTAAATGAAATAACTTAAATAAATTAATTAATATCTAATTTTTTTTTTTTTTTTTTTTTTGTTCAGGTTTATAAACAGACAAGCATATGTAGTCACATCTGCTGGTTTTATGTGAATTAGTTGAATAATTTTTGAATGCCTTAAATATTCCAAAATATTTCTCTTGAAGTTAAGATGCTTTTCT